CGACATGCTGCTAATCGATGCAGGGTTCACGGTCGTCTGTCTTCCTTATCGCCCTGGACTTGACAGGGTTCGGCTCTCTAGCCTCGCCAGGCTGGTGGGTGCTGCTCAGCCTCCGCCAGAGTGTCCAACGATGCATGTCACCAACGGTGCAGCTGAATGGTCTACACCGTCATTATTCCAGGGCTGACAGATCGATAGTTATTAAATACGATAATATATGTGTTACATCGTGATGGGTGCCCTCAAAATGGCATTTCCTCGCGCAGCCAGCGGCAGTTGGTTATATATATGCGGCTTCGAACTCTCCTCCTTTCTCCAGCCTCTGCAGCACAACCTAGGGTTGTTGTTAACTATTTTATCCCCCCCGGGCTGCTCTCATTGATCAAAGAAACGAGACGAGGCAGCCAGTGGCTATTATACCCTCTTCCACCCAGCCAGCGTGACGAGTTCTCTTTCACCTCCTCGTCGCCGGTTCTGGCATCGCTCGAGAGCTAGCATCTCGTATATCCTTTGTTCAACCATCCAACTCCCCACCGCCGTCAAGAGGCTAAAGAGAAAACCGCGCATGAGTAAATAAGAACAAGGGAACGCACGGGGCCAAAAGCAAAGAGCATAGAGAAGATCCGGGGCCAAAAAGTCCAGATCTATTCGTTCGGCATAGCGGGACCACACCTATTAATACTATGCGCCTTACTGTGGTGCCTCGCCGTCCAACCAGATCAATATCAATATAACTACCGGCCAGGAAAGAGAGTAACTGAATACGCCTCATTCGCCCCCAAGCTCGCCCATCCATGGCCAGTCGGTAATGACCTGATACCGCATTTGATGATAGTAACCCGGTTGCTTGGGAACTACAGTAGACTGGGAAGCCAGGAGAGTATATATAGCCTTTTATTAAAAGGGCCTTCAAGTACCTGAAGATAGGCCGCTATCAAATCTGTTTCCTATTTATGCGCATTCCCTCCCCCTTTATCTCTTCTACGGTATTGAATGCTCTTGTTGTTTTCCTTATCTCGAGCATTGCAACCGCACCAAAGCCTATCATTTCACAAGGATAGTACTCCGATGGGGTTGTCATTCGATTGATAACGGTACATCTGGCACTTTTTCTATTTATCATACCTTATCTAGCGGGCACAGTTGTGCAGCCGAGACGATGATACCCCGCGAGATCATCGGATATACTTCCAGTCGTTCATCTGCTGAGCTGCAGAGTTCAAATACGAAAGGGTCAGCAGCAACAGCATCGGACCATCACACCGAACGGCTTAACTCCTTTACCTCGAGGAGAGAATCCCTGACAGCAGCCGAACGGGCGAGACGCAATTTGAACGCAAAGCTTGCCAACCCTCTCGCTGGACTTAGCCATGCAACCTTGAGAAGCCGGGGAAGCCGATATGCTCAGAAATATCAAATTGGAGATGACGATGATGTTCGGGCATTTGAACTTGGTGCTGTCCTGGCGCAAGATCCTGAGCAGTTTGAGAAGGTTGAAGGACTGACGAAGGAAGAATTGGACGTCCTGCGAAAGGAATTCACGAATCGTTGGTCACAGCCAAAGGAGATGTATTTGGTTATTGTGCTGTGCTCGATATCTGCTGCTGTTCAGGGAATGGGTAAGCTTTCCATTAACTTACCATGGAAAGGAGAAATCCGATGGCTAACTATTCAAGCAGACGAAACGGTTGTCAATGGCGCTCAGATATTTTACAAACCACAATTTGGCATCGATGACGACGACTTCAGATCAACGTGGCTTGCCGGGCTGATAAACGCTGCACCATATCTATGTTGCGCGTTAATCGGCTGTTGGTTGACCGTCCCTTTTAACCACTGGTTTGGTAGGCGAGGAACAATTTTCATTACCTGCTGCTTTTCCACCTTGGCCTGTTTTTGGCAAGGCTTCGTCAATACATGGTGGCATATGTTCATCGCGCGTTTCGCATTGGGATTCGGTATCGGCCCCAAATCAGCAACAGTCCCCATATATGCAGCGGAGACTAGTCCCCCTGCCATTCGAGGTGCCTTGGTCATGCAGTGGCAGATGTGGACTGCATTTGGTATTATGATGGGTTATGCTTCGGATCTCATTTTCTTCAATGTCCCAGATATCCCAAATGTTACAGGGCTAGGCTGGCGATTAATGATGGGTTCAGCCATGTTTCCTGCTATTCTAGTCTGTTGTATGGTGTTTATCTGCCCGGAATCTCCTCGCTGGTATATGAGTAAGGGAGCCCATCATAAAGCATATCAATCGATGTGTCAACTTCGGTTCAACAAAGTCCAAGCCGCCCGCGATCTATTCTATATGCATACTTTGCTCGAGGCAGAATCGACGATGAAACTCGGCCAGCCAAAGATCTTGGAACTCATCACCGTTCCGCGGAACAGGAGAGCCTTGGTCGCATCTGAAATTGTGATGTTCATGCAACAGGTGCGTATACGATGCACATATCTCCTGCCCCTTTTGGGATTACCTGCGCTGTACTGACGTCATTTTTCATGCATAGTTCTGCGGCGTTAATGTGATCGCATACTACTCCTCCGAAGTCTTCTTGCAGGCAGGCTACTCGGAACTGTCCGCCCTTGCCGCATCGCTCGGCTTCGGGGTAATCAACTGGCTCTTTGCCATCCCTGCCGTATACACGATCGATACCTTTGGTCGACGAAACCTTCTGCTCGTCACCTTCCCCTTGATGGGACTCTTTCTGCTCCTCACCGGCTTTGCATTCTGGATTCCTGATCATGCTGCCCAAACAGGGTGTGTTGCGCTGGGTATATACCTTTTCGGCATTGTGTATTCTCCCGGAGAAGGGCCGGTACCATTCACTTACTCTGCGGAAGCATACCCACTGTATGTGCGATCGTACGGAATGGCATTGGCAACTGCAACGACATGGTTCTTTAACTTTACCCTTGCAATAACATGGCCCAGCCTATTACGAGCGTTCACCCCGCAAGGCGCATTTGGATGGTATGCAGCCTGGAATCTCATAGGATTTGTCCTCATATTGCTCTTCATGCCCGAAACCAAGGGTAAGACCCTTGAAGAACTGGACCAGGTTTTTTCCGTCCCCACCAAGGTACATGCCCGCTGGGCGCTGAAACAGATCGTGTATGTTTTCAGGAAATATGTCCTGAGACAGAAAGGGTTGAAAGAGGCTCTGTTATATGAAAAGCCGGAAGGCAAGCCGATATCGCAATCAATGGAGGAACGGGTAGTGGGGTCGCCGCAATTTTTCGGCTTTCGATAAATGCGATACAACGACCGTATATATATATATTCTTAAGTTCTTTATGGTAATATAGGTTGGAGGACTGTATAAATACCCAGCGATCGGGGTTGGGGTTTGGTTGGATATTTGGCGTTGCGACTACGGGATGTTAGTTATTTGCCGGAGCATTGTTCACGAATAATGATAAACGTATGGAGGAGGCCTGAGACTATATATATTATTATATTGGGGGAATTTCGAATTGAACATAAATATCTGCCGACAAAAGCTGGACTTGAAATATAATCTGGAGGCATCGAATGAAAAGAGAGACAGTCGAGAATGATTATATAAGCGGTATTCTGCACGTGACTCTCATAACACAAAAACAGTTAGTGTGGATTATATCTTGGCATATCGGGTACCGCGCCTAAATTCCCATATTAAAACTAGCGTAAAAGTGAGTCATAAACTCTAATAAACGCCACAACGTGGACTAAGCGCGATATATATCGCTGCCGAAAGAGGAAGGAAGGACCAGCAACCAACTTGTTTATCCAAAGAAGTTTATTGTTGATATCAAGGTAACTCGCATCAAGAACTCTTGACAACCTCATAATGCTTATCTCTTCAGCATACCCTGTTTTCCTCTTGATTTAGGAGCACAATGGAAGCAAAACAGCTAACGACCTGTGCCCAGGTAGAGACGAAGATCCGCCAATGTGTCGAGCAGCGTCGACGCATCTACAGCCAAAGCTCCGCCATAACAATCAGATGGGAGAATGATGATACCAATGCAAAGACAGATGCTTTGTATTTCAAAGAGTTTGCCAGAATACTCGGCGTTAAAGATGTACTCGAGTGCGAGATTTCTGGCGCAGATACGGTCCCTAGCACGCATGTTGAAGGGGCGATCGCAACTTGCATAAAGAGTAGCTTTGCGGCCCAAAAAGATGGAGCACACCTTATTATCATTCACTATGCTGGCAATGGATTCTATGAGCCGAAGCAAGGACAATACTTCTACCCGACTGAAGACTCTTCGCAGCGATTCTACCTTCGATCCCTTCTGCACCATATCACTAACTTTGTGGAAATCGATGGACCGGCCTTCGACGTTGTTTTGATTATTGATTCATACTGTTCTCCATTCATTACTCCCGCCGTCCAACCAAGATCAGGCCAGACAATTGAGCTTCTTGCGCCCCTTGGGTATAGCAACGATAAATATCCCATGACTGTTGTCGAGCCCAGAAGATCTGCTGATATCACAAACACATTTTACATCAAGGATAGTCCAACTTCTAACGCAGTGGAAATTACTCGGTTTCAGAGACATGAATTTTGCTACCCTTCTTGGTGTCGCGCAAGAGGATGAGGCCATATACAACCCAATACACAAGTTTCTTGCTGGGTCTTTACCCATTAAGATCGGTATTCCACCACACGAGAATGATCTACCAGTAGATTCTCAGGAGTCCCAACCAGAGCCTGTTCCGGGGCAAATAGATGCCCTTATTACTTGCAGCATTGCTCATGACCCAGCCTTAGGCGATCTTGAAAGACTGACGCAATGGATAGACAGTATCGATCAGGGTATGAGGGTGTATATTCATTACGTGTCCGAACGCGGCAACGATGGCACACCTATTTTGGCCTTGCGAGCGCCATTTCACGTTTCCTGTGTATTGGAGTCCTTGCCTGGAGTCGTGTTGAAGAATCGAACCTACACTCGGTACTAGGGCACTTTTCCAATCTGCTTTCTTTGTCCTGAGGCTGTTGGGGATGGTCCTGGAGTTCATACGCCACGTTCGACAACGCCAGTCTGCACTCCGGATGAAAGTAGCTCTTATGGCTGTTGATTGTATTAATTATTCCTTCGGTTGTGTATGATAGCATGCTTATAGTGTTTTCATTCCTAATGGACAGACACGAAGCTGATGAATGGAATGCGTAAACAATCATCCCACTGTCTATTACGATGAAATAAAGTAATACTCCGATTGACCCACGCCGAAGTTGCAACTGCCAGGCACCGAAGACACCGATAAGGATGGAGAAAGGTAGGTATTGGGGGGCTCAGGTTTGATAGATAGTCCCCTCCAATGAAAGAAGAATAATGATAAAAATGAGACCATAAACAAGGAGACGCGTCCCAGACCCTAGCCGGTTATATTAAGAACAAAAGTAATGAAAAGGAGGAAGAAAAGGGAGGGGGGAAAAGGTAAGAAAAAAGAGAATAAGCCTTTAGACGCCGTTTTCCTTTTCAAGTCTTTCGCCGAACTCCCGCTTCTTAGCTGGGTCTAGAGCATCCCACTCTTTGACCAAAGCACGGTCGATGTCCTCGTCGGTAACTCTCTGACCGTATGACCGGACCAATGCTTCGGTTAAGCTGGCTCTCTTATAGTTAGTGAAGGCCTCAAAGGCGGATACATATCGATGAGGGGGTTCCCGTCCCGAAGTGGCAGGGGGGAAGCTGCTGAGATCGTTGGCGGATGGGTTCGCGCTGCTGGTATGGTGGTGGTCAACCTGCATAGTGTATGAGTCAGTTGGCCGATGCACTGCTGTATATTGTTGGGTAGTTGGAGTTGGAGTTGGATTGCTGTTATAAGAGGATGCTGTTCTAGGAGGAGTAATAGCCGGGGTATAAGTCGGGGTATACGTGTTGATGGGGGTTAATAGAGGCCCAGAGCGATTGCCACGTTGTTCAATTGCGTCCAGACATTCTTGTAGATGTGGAATATTGAAATGGTAGTGCCCTAGAGCTGATCGAAAAGAAAGATGAGGATAAGGTAGAGGAGTAGGAATGGGTGTAGGAGGAAGCGGAGGGCCGCGGTAACCCGGGCATGGTGTCACACGTGGAAGGGGAAGGATAGGGGGTTCATGTTGCAAGGGCGTTGAGTATGTAGACGGAGGGTAGCTTGAAATAGGAAAGGTTGTGCTAACTGAGTCCATGTTGCTATTGCTGTTGCCAGCATCGTTGATATTGGTACTATCGCCGGCGCCGTGGCCCGCAGGCCTCTCATCACTCTTGCGGCTTCGTTTTGGTCGTAGCGGACGTTCCTGTGGCTGGCGCATCCACGCAGCATCGTCAGTAACTGCTCGGAAGTACATGTCTGTCCTCCATCAGAAGGGAAGCAGCGGCATCTTACTGTAGGCGGATGGTGACCAGAGCTACCATCACTCTCTTCGCCCAACGCATCCAGGTCCTCTCCAGATCGCTTCTGCCCGGCCCTCGAGCGCTCTTCGTCTAGCAAATGGCCAGACTCCCTCATTAGCGCCGCTGCACGCCCCGTAACCTCTGATTCTCCCTGTCTGCCGCTGCCGTCAGCCATGCCCATGAGCACGGAGAGCCGTTCCAGCATCATGCACGACTCCAGGCGCATTTTCTGTATATATCTGATTCCCTGCGCATTCCGCAGACGCATCGCTTCATTGTGAGCCTCGACTTCGTCCAGTCTTTTCTTCAGCGCGATGCATTTGCGCTTGTAGGCTGCTTCGATGCTGGGGGGGTTCGGGTGCGGCGGCATCGACGCGTTCTGCGGGTTAGCGTGGAGGTTGGAGTCCGGCTCGCTGGCCATTATCGCATTAGCAGCTGGTATCAATGTATGCAGACGGGGGACAGATGGGCTCTCGGAGGTGTTTGGAGGTCCTTTGCAGGCAGTTCGAACTGTTTGATGGTAGCGTGTGCTGGGCTGGGCTGGGAGCAGGAGTTCCGCAAAAAAGGATGCTCACTAGAGGTCCAGGATATCAGTGAGCTGGCACGCAGGCTGAAGCCGGTCTTGGGGCGCTCGACAGGACGGAGGAGACAGAACAGACGGGCCTGGTGCTGCGGCGGCTGGTGATGCGAGTGTCGCGAGGGCGAAGATGGCTTGCTTGCTTGTTTGCGGGCGAAAAGTTGGAGTTGGTGAGAAGTTGCGAGCTTCTTGTGGCGCAAATCGCAAAGTTCGCCGCTAAACTACCAAGTAACTAGTAAAAACGACAACGACGACGACGACGACGACGGCTCAAGGTCTATATTGTGCATTTACAGTATAATCCAAGTCAAGACTATATATTTCCCATCTCTAAGTGACATGTTCAGACTCGATGGTGGCGGAGGCGGCGGTGATGATGATGATGATGATGATGATGATGATGGGTATATGAAAATGATAAGCAAGGGACAAACAGGTAGAAAGCTATCTATGAAATGATGAGAAAAAAACAAGCAAAAGGACACCAAATATCAGCTACATCCGTTCATTTTTAGATCCTGCATCTCGTACTCCATCATATGAGATGGTTCTGTTTCAGAGGACATGGACTCTGTCGTGGATATGGAGGTCGTCGAGGCCTCGAGCGTTGTGTCCGGGCTGGGACAGGAGGATCTGTCTATATATGTGTCGTCGGGGGGAGAAAATGACCATACCTAGAGGCAGACGGTTAGACGGATGTAGTAGATGATTTATGAGTTAACGGGGGGGTAAGTCTCACCTCCATGGTTGTCTTGCCAGCCCGGGTAGCGAGGATGACGGCCTTTTCGGCTTCAAAGGCAATACGCCAGATGGTGTCGGCAGGCTGGCTGAGCTCGCGGACCTGCTGGCCGGTCTTGAGATCCCACGTCTTGACCCGGCCGTCACTACCGCCACTGACAATCCGGTTGTCGTCGAATTGCAGACTGGTGATGCTGTTGTCGTGGGCCGCCAGACGGTGGATCGGGGTCATACGCTCGAGGGACCAGACGCGGATGGAGCCATCGGAGCCACCCGTCACCAGGGTATCCCCACGAAGCTGAAGCTGGCCGACGAGAGAGGTGTGGCCTTGCAGGATGGCATGGCACTGGCCGGTATGGGGGTTCCAGATGCGTACGCTGGTGTCAAGACTGCCGGTAGCTATGCGTTTGCCGTCAAAGGCGATGGCATAGATCTGGCTAAAATGCCCGGCAAGGGTCTTGAGACACTTTCCTCCCGAGATGCTCCAGATTCTGGCCGTGGTATCGTAGCTTCCGGAGACAACCAAGTCGCCGTGGATCTCGAGACACCGTACACTTGCCTGATGGCCGACGAGGATGTTCTTGCATACTCCCGTAGCTAGATCCCAGATACGGAGAGTCGTATCTCGCGAGCCGGAGATGGCAGTCGTCTTGTTCGACATCTTCAAGCAGCGGACGGTAGACGTGTGCCCTCGCAGCTTATGAATACTCTCACTGGGTAACGAGTTAGAGACTGGCGTCTTTTCCAGAGAGTTGAAAGTCGAAATATCAGTAGACTCACCCTGTAGCCATATTCCAGACACGAACGTCTCGGTCACATCCTCCGCTAACAAGCAGGTCGTCCCACGGCACCATGGCCCAGACACCTATCATATGTCCCTGTAGAACTCTCTGATGCTCACCCTCGGTATTGAATATATGTATCTTCGCGTTGTCCAATGCAACAACTATATACTTGGGAGTCAGATGCAGACTGGTCACCACTCCCTGGTCGGTTGTGATATTCTTCGTAACGACGGTGCCGCCTTTTCTCCATGCCGCCTCGATCATGTACTTTTGTTTAAAATGCGAGCGGTAGGAGGTCGCCTTTGGTCGGGTCTTGCGAACCCGGCTTCTGCTCGAGGACTCTGCTACCGGAGCAAAAACTTTCATGTCTTCCGGTAATATTTGAGGTTGGGGAGGACATGATTCGGATTCCATATCTGTGTCCATGGAGGATAAGGGCTGTCTGGAAGGGGAGAGGGTAGAGGAAGGGCTGACGGGACTATCGATGAGGTCTTCAGAGACTCTTCTATAAGCATGTTTCTCACAGAGTATCTTCCACGTCAGCTCATCGTTGAGCAGCTCGTGCCAGCGAGTCGACACTTGAGACGCCCTGGACAGCGTCTTGGGATCGTCTACAAACGAAAGTACCTATTCACAGTCAGTTATCCGAACCAGACTCCCGGGGTTACTAAATAGTATGAAGTCATATCTCACCCTCAGACATAGCTCGTTCGGCAGGGTTTCAAAGGGATCCTTCTTCAGCCGCGGGCTCACGAAATGATGCACAAAGCTGAGCAGCTGGCTATCACACAGGTTTAGCATCTCTGCCAGAAACCTCTGCTTCTCCGCCTGGCCCAGCACGCTGAAATGTGACCTCGCATCTCGCAGGAAGGTATCTTCGTCTTCGCCGGCGCTTTGCCAGCTGGGCACTCGCTGGTGCGGCGTCGGACTTGGTGCGGGAGTAGGAGGAGACGCAGGAGCTGAAGGGTGCAGGTTATGTAGAGTCGGACGAGCCTTGCTGGGCGTCGAGAGAGGTTTTGTTCGAGAAGCCGAGCTGGGTCGCATAGTTCCCGAGTGTCGTCGTACGGTCGAACGAGGTGGATGATGACTTTTGTTGGTGTTGCTGGTGCTGTTGCTGCTGGAACCGCTGTTGAATTCTCCTTGAGACGTCAGATCGTCTGCTTCTATCATAGAGACGGGTCGCCGGTTTCCCAAGCTGCTTGATCCAGGCCTGGGGAACATCTGGAAGCGGTTATATATATATATAGAGGTTGTAGATAGGTCCCGAGCAGTCGTTTTTTATTTTTATTTTTATTTATTTTTTTTTTATCCACGGGCTGGAGATGTCATGCGCTGAGGAAGAAGAACCCTTTGAGCCGACGCAGCTATCTTTCTCGAAACAACTTTTCAGATCGGGGTCGAATAAGCAGAGTCCTTTGCAGCAGTCAGGCCTGCCGACATGCCGTGGTCTTCTCGGGCACTGAAAGTAACTCGGTGTATAGAGGAGAGGCGTAGGAGGAGGATGGATGGGATGGTCGAGTGGCGGAAAGGTGACCTCAAAGCTCGCCAGCGACAGTCCAGACGAAAAAAGGCCGGGATGGGGCTGTTGGGTTGACGGTCCGTCGGCCAGCGTTACTCTCTCATGCCTCGAGCAGGACGCAAGCAGGCAGGATCTGGAGGTGGGATTCGAGGTCTGGTAGAAACAGGTCAGTCCCCCGTCAGTCAGTCAGTCAAAGGCGATGTTGCCCTTCAGGCTCTCGGTGGCTTGGGTTGGTTTTCCTGGTGATCGCGGTGGCGCTGGGGGCTGCAGATGAAGCATGAAGTACCGGACGGGGCCTTTGGATGTATCAACCAGCCCAGCAAGGGCCCAGCGCTTAGGGCAGAGACGGTCAAGCGGACGAGCAGACGAGCAGACGAGCGAGCGAGCAGTCTGGCACCGTCTCGTCCTGTATATCGAGTGGCTGGCTACTTGATCTATCCGGCGTCTGGAGTTATCTGGGGCGCTACGAGGCCGGTCCCAGCATGCAGGGCGATCCTCGAGGTACAACTGAGCTATACTTCCAGCGTCAGGGGCCCCTGGTTTGGTGTCTCTCATCCTTTTTTTCTTTTCCCTCTCGTTTCCCCGGAGGAAGCGAAGGCTTTTTAGCCGATCGATCAGCTGGCCTGGATAAAATATTCTCGTCACATGGAGCGGTTGTTTTATAATGTGTATATACAAGAAAGCAAAAAGGTTGCGGTTGATAATGTACTCCGTAGTTTCTGTTCTTCTATGAGTGTGTCATTCGTCGTGAGAAAGTATATCCAGTTGAGTAGATGTAGAAGCTGTAGTCTAGATGCTGATAGATGTTGTGACGTTGTAGATAGGTGGGTGATAGAAAATTATACAGGTCAGGGGTCAATGGGCATGGCCGACTTGCAGGAACAGCGGCAGCACCATCCCAACGACAGACGCAACGAGGTCTCTCATCGACTGCTTAGGCCGTTGCGGTGGGTCCCGCCCATCAACATAGCCGTTTGCATGAGACTCTCGACGGGCTGGCTCGAGGGGATTCTCCTGCATCGTATGCATGGCAACATACCTGCATGCACGCCGGTCAGTAAAGAAATGTCGTCACCGCAGCCGTCATCGTCCAGGAAGCAATCCTTCTTTAAAAGGATGGTGGTGTATGACTTACAAAAATGTGCCCGCAGAGAACAACAGGAGCATTCCTGTCCTCCACCGGGTGCTCTGCTCGTCACTGGCATGGCCTGCAAGTATGGTATGTGCAGCAACCCACGTCAACAGTGCTCCCACCGGCGCAGCAAGACTGAACACCAGCAGATGTGCCCTGGCACTCTTGGTTGTATGACCTTGCTTGAGCAAGACGGACGTCAGCCCAAAGGATGCAGGAGCCTTATGTACCATAATCGCCACGAAAATGATCAGGCTCAGGCTCATGTTGGACGTGGATGCTCCTAGTGCAATGCCGTCTGCCGCCGCATGTATCACCAATCCAGCCGTCGTAGCCATGCCCGCACTGCTGCTGCCGGATCGTGAGCCGCTGCCACTCGTTCGTGCAGGCGATATGCCTCGACCTATGCCCGATCCCAGGTTATCCAGTGAAATATGGTATGGTCTCTGTTGCTGCTTGGAAGACGAAGACGCATATTGCGGCAACTTGTCAACCAAATACATTAGTATAAATCCACCAATGAGCCCAACACCAATCCAAGCATGTGGCCCGCTATCTTCATGTTCATGCTTATGGCCATGCTCATGCTCGTCATCATCATCATGTCCATCCGGCTTATTCTTGTCACCGTCACCCATCTTACCCTCCTTCTTCCCCTTGCCGTCACTGCCGTCTCCATCCACAGGAGCGTCAGGCTGTGGTTTGTCGGCGTCAGGAGCCGCCTCCTCCCGTCCAGACAGGCGCCAATTCGCCTCATTCCCAATACCACGTCCATTCATAGATTGAGGAACAGATACTACTTCCGCCCTGTGGTTCCATCGAACCCCAACACCATGTTCTAGCACATCCCTCCTTCGGTGCCCAGATTCATGTCCCTGCTGGCTCGGTTTCACAGGAGAGCTATATAACGTCTCGACTCCCTCGGGGATAATCACAATCAAGGACGTGCCGACTAGCAGGCCCACACCAAGCGCAGACATAAGCCGGAGCTGAGACGAGGATAAAGAAAAGGTCAATGGCAGTGACCCAACGATAAACGACCTATACCGGCACCGTCAAAATGTCAGTATATAATCTTGTAGTGCTCTCAAGGGGGCAATATCAGGACTCACGCTGCTCCCATAAGGAGACTTAGGCATACGAGCGTAAAAAGCCCGTCCATTGCTTCGATGCTGCTGTATTTCTTGTTCGAAGCCTTCCCAAATTAATATCCAATTAAAAAATGCAAGTAGCCCGTCTCTCAATGTCCTCATTCCATTATGAACTGCCGTCCGCTCTCTGCATTAATTCGTATAGTAGGTTTATAGTTGCTGCACAAGGTATGAGGTTTTGGTAGATGTGGCTACCTTGCGCCTCGGCGAGTTTGAATGAAGAGAATGGACGCGCGGGTCAAAAGCCGCTCCGGAGCTAGTAACAGGGACAAAGAGAGCGACAGTAAAAGTACAAATAGAAGAATGAAAACACACTAGCGAATGAATAAAATCTACAATAACAACAATAAATATCAAGAAGTTTTTTTGATGATTTTTCGACTTTTTTTCGTTTCTTTTTCGGCTTTCGAAAATATCACGTGATAAAATATATTTCTTACATAATCATCAGGAACAATCATGTGATTAAAACTTAAAAGAAAAAAAAGATAAAAAAAGATAAAAATAAAAAAATTCATTAAACATTCAAAAGGATGAAGACGAAGATGAGAATATACAAATTGTTCATGACAAGGAGAAAATTCGTCAACAGGCCAGCATGAATGGTGAATGGCGATAGAGGAGTCTATGCATCGGACAAAATCTTGTTTTCGACAAGGCCCTGCCCTCTGTCGATGCTGTCTCGATAATCCCGTATCAGGACCGCAGGCGAAGCAGCAGTCGAAACATACTCCTGCAGCTTCCTGTCGGGAACAAGCAGATGCAGCCCGCTATATACGAATGCACTGATTAGGAAGCCGACCAGGAAACAGAGCTGGTAGATACGGGTGAAGCCAACGGGGACATGGACATCCGTGTTGACCGTTGCAATAAAGCCCGGCAGGGATGGAACGGTTCCGCATATCCACTGGAGACAAATCAATTAACTAATGAATACGAAGCGTTGAGCAGGTGTTTGAGATGATGGTGTTTCTTACTGCAATGAAAGCACGCCAGTTGAAGCCGTGGCTAAACCAGTAGATGCTGGTGCGGTTGCCAGTGTAGAGGTCCTCGACTTTGAGCTTCCGTCTGTGAACGATGAACCAGGCCGAGATCATGAGGCCGGTCATAGGGCCCAGGAAAACAGCGTAACTGCTCAGGACGCTGAGGAATATAGTGGCTGTGGAGACGAGTTTCCACGGGTTACAGGCTATGGAGAGGGCGATAGTAATGTATGCGCCGCGCCGGATGTTGATGTATTTGGGGAATGTCGCCGCGAGGTCAAAGCCTAGCTCAGCATACATAGGTCAGTTAAATTAGGATTTTTGATGAGCAGCCGGGATGGTTGGCATTACCTCCCGAAAGAGCGTTTCCAGGGATGTTGACGCCGATCTGAGAAATGACGAGAGCACCACCCGCGAAGAATGCAGCAGCTCTCGATCTGGATCCTCCGTGGTCGATGATAGCTCCAATGAGAGACGGCAGGTCCCAGTGTGCTTCACCAAACCTCTTCTGCGTTGCGGCAGTGACGAGCACGCCGATGACAGAGCAAATGATGCTGGAGATTGGGAAGCTGATGACTTGTCCGAGAATAGCGTCTCTGGGCCTCCTTGCAAACCTAGCATAGTCATTTTGGTTAAGGATTCCGGCGGATATGGCGCCAATTGTACTGATGATACCAAACACAACGAGCCAGCCAGCATCCTTGACTGGCTCCCCTGGCCCTCCGCCTGAGATTGTGGAGCCAAACCCTGCAGGGCCCATGGTGGCCAACGCCCAGATGAGAAGGACGAATTCAAGAACGACAACGACAGAGGCGGAGATGTAGAAGAACATGCGCAGGTTGTGCGGGCGGATGTATGCAACCGGAAGGGAGATGACCATGAAGACAATGTAGCTGACGAACTGGGCGGTAGTTATCCCTGTTGAAGGGGAGAGGTGGTTTGGTATACGCTGCTCAAGGGACGGCCATATCGCCTTGAGACAGACGTAGACGCACTGTCCTCCAATGTATGACTGGAAGCCGTACCTACATTAGTTAGCCGGCAGCTCTTCATCCATCCGCAGAATAAACTCACCATACTGGAACACTGTTAGCAAGTCTATTTACTATGTAAATAATAATAATAATAATAAAGGTAAGGGAACATACCGATGGACAGGAAGATACGATTCCAGATGACAAACTGGCTACCGTACATTCCCCAGACATATCTGTTGACCACCGGGAAGCCAAGATGGTAGTAGGCTCCTGGTAGGGAGTTGAGCACGACGAAGAGAGTCGCCAGCAGATTACCGATGACGATGGCGATGATGGCCTGCCACCAATGTAGTCCCAGTGCTATCAGGGAGCTGCCAGTCATGTATGAGGAGATGTTGGAGTTTATGAGAACCCAGTAGGTGGTGAATGTCCATGCCGACCATGTCCTCCGTCTAGCCTCGATGGGCTTGATGTCGAAGTTGATCCAGGGGTCTGGCAGCGTGCCTCCTTCATGCTCGATCTCCAGCTTCTTCAGTATCCGGTTCATTTCAGTAATCTAGGAATAGTTAGGGCTTGGTTGGTGATGGTTTCGAGTATGGTTTCAGCACGTAAGTAGATGACCACTTGCTGAGTCTGGCGTATATGTATGTCATTCAGCTGTACGACTCATCACCCCCCGGACTTCAGCTCGTACAATCTAACTCTGGCTCTCCGCACAATGCCCTGAAGGAGAGGACGATAAGACGACGGCCATGGGTTCGACCCTATCTCTGTTCCTCGGCTAGACATGGTAGTTGCTCGTTACTGACGCAGGGAGGTAAAGATATTCGCCGCGCAGGCCGGCCAAACTCCTGTCGGCGAACTTCTTCAGGCATTCCACTGTCAGCTTACTCTAGTTAGTTACTGACTGCCCCAAGCTATAATAGAGCTCTGGATAACCCAAGCTTCGAGCCGGGATACGACTTCTTCAACCCCCAGAGCCGTCGAGATAGACTTCGTCCGTCCATTGCCCCGGAAAGCAACCGGCTTGCTGGGCCAGGTAGCTCTGCTGGTGGACCGCCAAACAGGCTCGAGGCCTGGACCAAGCCCGCCTGAAGCATGGAGACCACGGCTTCGATGGGCAAGCTAGTGTGAGATATCGCCCAGCTCGGTCCCCAACGGCGATTCAGGCTCTCGTATCGGTTTATAGTTACACAGCAGCAGCTGGTTTCGTCCTGGAGATCTCTGGCAATAATATTCGGCCTGTAACTTACTAACCAACGGCCCCCCCCTCCCCGTCTGCCAGCTCAGCCATGACCATGACCTCCCGCCAGGTGGACTCTGGCATCCTGCCGTTCCGCGAATGGGAGCTGACGCCTGACCGGAGCAGTCGGAGATGGCGATGGTTGGTGGAAATGTAGGCTCGTTCGGCCAAAACGCTTGCATCATGACTTGCTTGACAGCGTCAAACGGGGGGACCATGCAGGTTTGTCCTCCGGGAAGATCAGTCGAGGGTTCGCAGCAACACCGGCAAACGAGGCTTGTTGACACAGCAGGAGATGGCCGGCGAAGGGCGTTTGCCTCCTTTTTCCAGTCTTCCACCGCATGCCCATTTCGTTTGTAGCCTGCCCTCTGGGCGGAGACAGTGACGGCCACGGCTAGTCAGGCCCGGCCAGCTTGATATATAAACTGCTGATGGAGACCTCGCGGCGATCGAGGACTCTCTCTCTGGACTCCCCCCCCCTTCCCAGCTGCTCCCTTCGCATATAACCTCAAACAGGGCCTGAGACTCGCAGTGTCTTCTCCCTCGTTAGGCAGAGTAATAGTTAACTGGTAGCCGCCGTCGCTGCTGTCGTTCGTTTGCTGTCGTTGTTGTTGTTGTTGCTGCTGTCCCTCGCTTCTGCAGACGTCAGGATGTACCGCATAGGCGTAGACGTCGGCGGGACCAACACTGATGCCGCCATCCTCGATATCACGGCCAGCGAGACGCCCTCGCGCGGAGTCCTCGCCTCGAGCAAGACGCCCACGACCCCAGATGTCACCAGCGGCATCAAGAGCGTCGTCGAGAGCGTCCTGAGCAAGTCGGGGATCGACCCGGCCCATATTCTCAGCGTGGCCATTGGGACCACGCACTTTGTCAATGCCGTCGTTGAAGCCGATGCGCGGAGACTCAGCAAGGTCGCCGTCGTCAGGCTCTGCGGCACCTTCAGCCAGGATGTCCGTCGTCTTCCGTTCTGTTCCTCGTTCACTTGCTGTCGTTGCTAGCTGTTGTTGGTTGTTGTTGCTGATGCTGATGCTGGTGGTTGTAGATTCCGCCCTTTACAAACTTCCCTCCGGCACTGCGGAGCATCATCGAGTGCCAGTCCTACTATCTGGACGGAGGTAAGGGACAGTCTACCACTCTATATAGTTGACTAGTTAACGGAATGCTGAGCTGACGCTGGCTGCAGGCCTCGAGATCGATGGCCGCGAGATCACTCGGCTGGACCCCGAGCAGATCCGGGAGACCGCCAGGCGCATCAGCGCGGCGGGAATCACCAAGGTGGCCCTCGTAGGCATCTTCTCGCCCCTCGACCACAGCGGCATCCACGAAGAGGCCTGCAAGAAGCTCATGCTCGAGGTCGACCCGGGCCTCTCGGTCGTATGCTCCCATACCATTGGCGGCGTGGGCCTGCTCGAGCGTGAGAATGCCACCATCCTCAACGCCTCCATCCTCCAGCTGGCCCAGAAGACCGTCCGGGCCTTTGTGCAGGCCATGTCGGACCTCAGGCTTAACTGCAGCCTCTATCTGACGCAGAATGACGGTACCTTGACGGATGCTGTCACTGCCTCTGAGCTGCCTATCAAGACCTTTGCCAGCGGCCCAACCAACAGCTTGACCGGAGCTGCCTTCTTGGCCTCCCTGGACCGGAGAACCGGCAGCAGGTCAACTGCAGAGAGGCAGACACTGGTCATTGATATCGGTGGGACGACTTCCGATATCTGTGCCTTGATGCCGTCAGGCTTCCCCCGCCAGGCATCGAACTTCGTTGAAGTCGGTGGTGTGCGTACCATGTTCTCCATGCCAGAAGTGCTCTCCATCGGACTCGGTGGAGGTAGCATTGTTCGTCAGGATGGAACTTATGTCTCTGTAGGACCCGACTCTGTTGGCCATTACCTGACCAGCAAGGCTAAAGTGTTTGGTGGTGATACCCTTACTACCACCGACATCGTCGTTGCCGCTGGAAAGGAGCAGATAGGAGATGCATCAAAGGTTGCCGATGTCACTCAGCAGACCATCGAGGACGCACGGAAGGCCATCACCAAGCTGCTTAACCGTGGCATCGAAAGCATGAAGGTGTCCTCCCTTCCCGTTACCGTCCTCCTGGTTGGAGGCGGTTCGATCGTCTACATGGACGACCTCGAAGGCGTTGAAGAATGCATCATCCCTCCTCACCATGACTCTGCCAACGCCGTCGGTGCAGCCATAGCCAAGGTTGCGGGAACAGTAGACGTCATTGAGATCCTTGCTGGAAAGGACGAGAAAGAAGTTCTCAAGCAAGTCGAAACTGCAGCTGTCGACATGGCTATTCAACGAGGTGCAGACAGAGATACCGTGAAGATTGCTGAGATCGAAAAGCTGCCTCTTCAATATGTCACCAACAAAGCTACCCGTATCATGATCAAGGCTGTCGGTAAACTGAGAGTACCCACGGAGGAAGAGGCCGAGCAGGAGCGGGCTAAACTACCTGCCTACACCAACGGTACCAACGGAGCCAACGGCCACAACGGCAACGGTGTTGAAGGCGAGAAAGCTGCTGCCGCCGAGGACGTGTCTAGATCTGCTGTCAAGCACTCGATCTACGTCGATATACCATCATACAAGCCCGAAGTCGAGAATGGAGTCTGGTACCTAAGCGCTCTTGACCTGGAATTCATTGCCTCCGGCACCGGCGTCCTGGGGACAGGTGGTGGTGGCCCTTCATACCAACAATACCTCATTGCACTTGAATGTCTTCGCAAGAAGGGCAAGCGGAAGATGAGAGTAGTCAAGCCCGAAAGCATGGCTGACACAGATGTCTGCGTCTTCGCTTCCTGGTACGGAGCCCCCAGTGTGTCATCTGAGCGTATCCCCCAGGGCAACGAACTCATCCGGTCAGTCGAAGAATCCATCAAGCTTACCAGACACGAGAAGTTCCATGCCATCATGGCCGATGAGATTGGCGGAGGAAACGGAATGGTCACCTTCCCTACTGCAGTGCACTATGATATCCCCACCATCGATGCAGATCTGATGGGGAGAGCTTATCCTACCATCCAGCACGGGACCCCTTACGTCTACGGTGAAACAATCTCACCATGCGCCCTGGCTGACTCGAAGGGTAATGTCTCGGTTGTCATGCATGCCGAGTCCAACCAGAGAATCGAGACCATGCTTCGAACTACCTGTGTAGAATTGGGTCTCTTCACCTCCGTTTCCGCTGCTCCTCTTACCGGGAAGGCCATTAAGAAGTACGCTGTGGAAAACACCATGTCTCAAGCCTGGTACCTCGGACGAGCCATCCATCTCGCTCGCCGTGAGAAGGTCGATGTCATCGAAGCAATCGTAAGTCACTCCTTTCCCACTCACCCATGTACACACCATCAAACTAACACGCCTAGTTCAAAACCACCCCCGGCCGCCTCCTATACACAGGCAAAATAATCGACGTCCACCGAGACGTCAGCCGCGGTTACACTATGGGCTACTGCATCCTTGCCCCTCTATCTAGCGATGAAGTAGCAGACTCCTACGACAACACCAATAGCACCTCATCTTCCCCTTCTTCCACCGAAACCGAGCCACACCTCATCATCCCTTTCCAAAACGAATATCTCTACGCCGCTCACGTATCTAACCTCGACAAACCCCAAGAGCCAGTCAACCAGGACGTCATCTGCACCGTCCCCGACCTCATCTCCATCCTAGATAAGGACGGTGAGGCAGTTGGGTCCCAGGAACTCAAGTACGGTCTCCGAGTACGTGTCATCGGCATGGCTGCTCATCCGCTCTGGACCCAGGACCAGAGAGGCCTTGATGTCGGTGGACCCAAGTATTTCGGCCTCGACATGGAGTGGAAGAGCATCGGGAAGTATCAGAGGCCTAGGAGCGTTATTGATGAGTTCAATGTCGTCGTTTGATTTAATTCTCTTAATGCTTTTGCCGTTTGCATACTGGATTTTGTTGCATGTTTAGAGATGTATATATCTTTTTTTCCCCTTTGTAAATACTTTAATTGATATGGGCGTAGCATGCTATTAGAATCAGCTCTGATATCATCCTGGATAGCATAAATATAACTTTCGGGTCATCGTGGACAGCTTGAATTTCTAATTCAAAGTACAAAAAATGCTTGGGAGTCGAGGAGGTGAAGATTAAGTAATACAATATTATATAATCATTACATAACAAAGGTAGTTAATAGCTTAGTCAGAAAATCTAATCGCGTCGCGTTTCTTTAATTTAATTCTTGACTTCACGCTGAGCGACGACGAGAAGGACCAGAGAAGCGCAGATACACTGATTCAAGATGGATAAACATAACGAGTGTGAGTATTCAAAGCTATCAATTCCTACTGATAGCTCCGGCACTGACACTGCTTCCCAGGGACTTGCGATGCCAACGATGCAGTGGAAATATCCATGGTCCAGCCAGGCGATGACGGCCAGAAGTTGACCACCCTCTCAACCTTCAACCCCCAGTTCACATATCCACTTTTCGGAGATGAGGAATCGATCTTTGGCTATAAAAAGCTGAATATCAAGCTTCGATTTGCGGCGCATGACCTCCAATCACACGTTCAGATCTCGTACAATGAGAAGTTCAAGCAGGTAGAGGATATAAAAGCTGCTGACCTCCTCGGGATCCTCAAACCGTGTCTTCCGGAGGGTATGTACAGCAGGGAATAAATGAAGATGTGAGCAACGCTGACGTGCTGTTAGTTTCATTTTCGACCATCGATGAGTTTAAGAAGCGTATAAACGAGGAGGACACGGCGAACTTTACACCCCCAGGCAAGCTTGTTCATAGCTATTCGAGAGATGATAAAGACTATGAGATATGGGCGGGCTCCCTGGCCGATCCGGAAGTGCGCAAGACTCTGGATAGGATACAGATCTTCGTGTCGTTCTTCATCGAAGGCGGAACTCCCATTGAAACAGACGACTTTGACTGGACTCTGGAAAGATGGATAATATATTTTGTGTATGTTCTGCTCACTCCCTTTCAGATAGACAGTGCTCTAACATTGGTAATAGATACGAAAAGCAAAAAAAGCCATCTAGCCCAAAGGCATCAAGGTACTCCTTTGCAGGATACGCAACCACATACAGATGGTACTTTTTCCATCCTAAGTCATCGAATGCTGCAAAGTTGGCATACGAAGCCCAGAAAACGGAGGCATTTGATTCATTCCCAGTCTCAAAGATACCCGCGCGTTTACGCATTGCTCAGTTCCTCATTATTAAGCCACACCAGCACGCTGGCCATGGATCCCAGCTCTATCGCACAATTCAAAAAGCCTGCCTTGAAGACCCTACCATCTTCGAACTTACCATTGAGGATCCAAACGAGTCATTTGATGCACTTCGAGACTCAAACGACTACCACACGTTAAAACCAGAATTCTCTAAACATAATATTACAATCAACGCCAACCCCATCCCAAACACTACCCCTGGAAGCTCCTCTTCTCAACCTCCGAAACATCCCCGCGTCATGCCAACCTCTCTGCTAATCCCTACAAAAACCCTCGATGATCTCAGGCAAGAGTTCAAAATCGCCCCTACTCAATTCGCTCATCTGGTTGAGATGTATCTTCTTAGCCAGATACCTCAGTCTCACCGTGGGGCGGAAAACGTCAATATGACTCGTCTCACAACGCAGAAGTCTCGACTACAGAATGAGCATGATAGACGGTATTATTGGTGGCGCATGCTTGTTAAGCAGCGATTGTACAAACGACACCGTGACATGTTAATACAGATTGACAAGGACGAACGGGTAGTCAAACTTGACGAGACGCTGCAGAACGTGGAAGAAGGGTATGATGTTCTGCTGAAGGCGTTTGATGAGCGGGCTTCAAAGGTATCAGGCAATGGGAAGGGTAAGGACCGAGAAGCCGATGATAACGAGGATGGGAATGAGGCTTCCGCCTCCGCCACTAAAAAGCGCTCAAAGAGAAAGTTCACTGTTGAAGATGACGATGATGAGATGGAAGATGCCCCGTCGGCGAAGAATAGAGGTGGGAAGAAGCCAAAGGTCTAAGACAGGGTTGGTAGGCTGAGCTGTGAACTTGCCCTCCAAGGTCTTAAATGTATTGTAAATCTGTATGATAATTATGGTCTTCTAGCAAGCAATTGATAAATATTTATCAAGCGACATTTGCGTGAACATGCAGACTCGTAAATAAACAAACATACTAGCCAAGATGTATAAATCGACGGAATTAAAGAAGGCTAGTGAAAGACGTAAGTATCCTTACTTTCGGTTCTGTAAGACTGGGAGATGTCCGTCTCGTACCAGCACAAGGACTCAAAAGTCAGTTGGTGAATAGACGCAAAATATGCATGGCCACATCCAATTGTAAAAGGACAACGTTGAGCACGAACGAACGTTAAGTAGCATGAAGTATAAATTAATCAAAATAAATAAATGGTTGGGGTCAAAAATAGGAGATCTAAAGGATGGATAACGAGAAACAGATGATATATGGTGAAAGGTAGGTGGTACTCCTATCCACTCATCATCGTGGCTGTTTCTGGATCAAGGCTGTCGACCGTATCTTCTGAATCAGTCTCAAAACTAAGTATGCTGGTACTTGCCCTTGGAGATCCAATTGTGGTCAAAGGAGCGGTGGATGATGGGGCTGGTGTTCCTGCTGCGTATCTCCGCGCAGTGATTTCAGTAATATCTTGAGCTGCGAGTCTAGATTGTACTCGATCACTGGCAGCAGAGGGCTCGTTAGGATTCACGAGTTCCCCGACAAATTCAAATACACGTCGCAACCCCAGGATTTCATTCGGCATTGTATCGTCCTCTGATTCTGGAGTCAAAGAGCCAGGAGGTAAAGTTGATATCCGGATGGTATCGTTTTGCTGACCGTTGATAGGAGTAGTCGGAGACTGAGCTATGGGAGTCGTGTCTTCACGGCCGAGCAGTCTATGCCACCATTGTCTAAGTCGGTATCGGCACGCTGCTGCTCGGTACGCGTGTAGTGTTCGTCTCTGCTCACGACGAGCTAGCATATCTACTCGACGTCTTCGACAGCTTATTGAATTTCCGCAATGTTTCAGGAGCATGTATAGAACAGCCACAAAGAGGGAGACGAAAGCGAAGTCACGAATGACATGTTTTATTATGGCTGAACGAGAAGGTAGTTGATTTGAGGGAGGGGAATTTGCAGGTGATGGTTCTGTCCAACCTGTATTGGAATTTTGTGTAGAGTCCATAATGGATGTATTGTTAGATCCGACTGCATGAGGTATGTGGTATGGACTTGTACTGTTTTTCCCTTTATATCCTTCCGATCCATTCTGACGGACCTTGGAGACTGGTCGACAGGGACTATCAGCTAAAGAGGTTGGTAAAGGTCCAAACCGATGTTTCACGAGACGGAACATGTCCGGGACAAGCTGGAAGGTAGCTGATATGAAGCACTGTAAGGTCTTACACTCCTTGAGCTGCGCAGTAAGATTGGTACAGTCATCAAAAAGGTGTTCACGGATCTTTTCATCTTTCTCCTTGATAACGTCGTCGAGAGCCTTGGCTTGGTCTCTTAGTTTATGTAGTTCCTTGAGCTGTTCTTCTAACTCAGAATCTGTGATGGGATGGCTCTTGACAAGACTCTCTTGGTGTAGCCTGTCATTCCCACTGGCTTTCAGCCATTCTTCCAGAACCGAGGGTTCATTAGTAGTTGGTGCTGGCGAAGTTACGAGACGCAAAATCTCCGGTTTATCCACGGAATTGAATGAGACAGCAAAGCCAGATGTGTCATTTCCTTCTTCCTGGCCTGCAGGATAAAATGTGAAGGTGAGTATCTGGGCAGCATAGTCTCCAATAGATCCTCTGGGACTGGCAATGCACAAGCTTCTCCAATGCAGACGTAAATTAACGCCTTCTTTTCGTCCCATTAACTGGGCAGTAACTATACCATCTCCGACAGCATTGGCTCCATCCCAGGTGAACGCGAGCTTTTGGTCATTGAGTCGCACATCGTTTTCACCACAGACACTGTTTGTCCGTGCAATTTGAATGTGAAATATCTAGTCCAACCTATTAGGACCGAGTAGTATACGCGTACGGAGATCGTAAATTGTACTCCAACTTACAACATTGGACATCCCATCATCAAAACACTGCCTACATGGCGTCTCAAACTCTACCGAAACGGCATCTTTGCCTACAGATACGTCACATCAGCCGTCAGCTGCACAAACAAGCAGGTGGATCCAATTGATAGGGCGGACTAACTTCTATGGAGCTTCACAGTATCAAATTGGCCTCTTCTATGGGCGATGCTGACGGGCTGAGCGAACACAGTCACCACCAGCAGGAAGAGGATCAGGAACGTCTTGGCGGACCCAAGCATGGCGGAAGCAGACCCTAAGCCCATGGCATCTCACCCGGCCATGGTGCACGCTGCAGTCTTATCCAAAATGAGCGACAAAGGAGTACGCTATTACCGTCAAAACATCCGACGGCCTCTCTGTTCTGCTTTGCGATGAGGAAGAAAGGGAGCGAAGAAGAAACGCCGCGACTTCGTGTCGAAAGCCGAGAAAGCTGCGCCCTCCTGCTTATGTCATTACTTGCTTAGTCAATGATTAGTTATTATCACGTGATATATTTTGAGCCGCACGATTTAGCTCTAAAGGCAACAACATCAAAGTTAGAACAAATATTGAAAAAACAGACGACATAAGGAGGGCATGTTCGATGTCCACGGGCGATAATGGCCTGTTGGAAGAACAGGAGTTGCAAGGAGGGTGATCTCCTTCGTCCGGCTTCTCGAGATTCAGCAAAAATCCTGGACTACTCGTATAATACATGGCATCAACTCCTTTGGTCTGCCGAAGCCAAAGCACAACTGCCCGATGCTTGTAGCAGTATAAGGGCCCTTTTGCATAGCACTCCTGCTATTCCAGACACTTCCAAAATTTCTGAGTTTGCTGAGGATCACTCTCTATTCCTGGAAGGATACTCAATATGGAGTATCAACTCAACATCACCCTGTTCTCTTACCACCGAGACTAAGAAGGCCAGGCCTCAGACGATACGTATCGGGGTGCTAAAACCTACATTCTGTTCCCTTTCAGAGAATTTTCTTCCCGAATGGCCAGGTTTTGAAGCTTTACCCGATGCATCTGGTAGCAATTTTCTTTCAGTGTTCGTTTTGGGCTGGTCATACGTCCTTTCTACACGCTTGATTGAACTTCGAGGGAATCAACACGACCAGGCTCAGTATACCAACAATATAGCAATAATGGCAAACAGATCAGGTGGCTTGAATTTAAATACTGGATATGAGCTGCCTATTGGTGATGCAACAGCACAAGAGTCCAGATGGTGGGCTGCAATTCTCTCCAATGGGTGTGGATGGCTAGCAACGCTTACACGCCAGGATAAGGAGTACTATGCTCCATGGAGTTGCCACTTGAAGGATGGTGGAAAACCGTTTACTATTATTCATGATAAATCGGAATTAATCATATCTTCCGAAAGAGATCCTCCGTCATCAGCTCAGGCTCAGAGTTATCTCCTTCGGGTAGCCGAAATGCATGATATATTCGATCAGCTCCTCGCAGCCTTCACTGCTGTCCTTACTATCCCGTACCACATGAGATTTGGAGCACCTGTCAACCTTCCTGAACCTCACCTACATACCCGCCCAAAGAAGCAGAGCACTATTGGATATAAACAGAAGATCCCGACCTTTGACGAGCTTCCATATTTCATGTCATTTTCCACTATACCTAATGTGATATCGTCATGCCTCTTTAGTTGTTTCTGGGAAGTGGGAATACCCTGTAACCTTGCTAGCGAATGGCTACATACACCACTTAGTGATATCTTACCGGCTCTTATTCTTGAGCGAAAGCATCGCAGTATCATACAAATGCTAGCCACAAGGTCTCCAAATGTGGCGCCTTTGCTACTAGGCTCAGCTATCACTGGAATGCTGCATCGCATACCAGAAGTATACAAATCGTTTATACCCCCAATTTGCCTCGAAGCGGCTGTATGGAGTTCGTCGCAACAGTCCTTTATGGATCCAGTTTTTCACCACATGCCGAAATTACGAAGGAATATTGCATTTAAGAAATTAATTACGCGCGAAGATGAATTCCGGATTCTATACACTACCGATTTTGAATCTGCAGACTACCCAGCTTTACCCCTAAGCCCATACCCTCCATTTGGGTATGTGGGACTCGGAGATACTGCCCTCGAAGTTCAGCTACACGTCTTATGCGGTCATAGTTTAAACTATAGCCACTGGGTTTGGCAAGGTCAAGATTCAGGAGAGGTGCGATGCTTGGATGATTACGGCTTTACCCTATCAGGAAACATATCCTCTTTCCCTGCACATGGTAAAACTGGTTGCACCATTTCTCAACTCGTAAATAGAGCCCTCCTGTCTGTAACACGAAAGTTATCCACCTGTTGGACTGATTTCATTCCCGGACCGCAGCGAACTTCAAATGGGGACATTAACGAAAGACTTTCCGAAGTTGCTACTCGAAATCTATTCTCCTGGACTCTTTTCTCCGACGGTGTGAGAAAAGAGGACAAGGAGCTATGGCACCATGAATGGCTAGAATTTCTTCTAGGGGTCGACGATAATGCTTCGGAGACAGATTCCAACTTGACATCAATCAATGGGCAATCAAAATCTGCAATATCGTCATGGTTGCAAACAGTTTTCATGTCTCATGCAATACAGGACCTCTAGACTGCCAAACTCGACACCTCAACATATTCACATGTGACAGACTCTCTCGACAGCCCACTTGTGTATTTTATCTCATATTTGGCTCTCAAATCTTTATTCTCAGTGCTTCTTCCACCCATCTCTAATCCAACCGCCAGGCTGAGTTCCATCCGGGCCTCCTCCAGGGTGATCTTCGCATTCTTCGCATAGCATCCAATTGCCGCCTGCTTGGCATAGCTTCCATTCGACTTTGCATCCCTTTGCAAGGCATTTTTCATACGTATGTTCGGAATTTAGATGCCCACACTCCAGACAGGAGCCTTTGCGGCCGGAGGAATAGGAGCGCTTGTAATATTCGTTAATATTCGGTACTCCATTTCGGCCACTAGTTAGTTTACTTACCATTATTTTGGTATCCTTGTAACTTTGGGGTAGTTCACTTTGCCTCTGGCAAGATTGTCTCTAAACGATCATATATGGTCGGTAAAATCTGATTCACAGTAGAGGGTTCTTATAAGTCTACAGTTGAGGGGAAGGGGAGGCTGCTGCCTAAATACTGTTGGGAATATACCCTTGCCGTTATAATCCCTGCTCAGCCGCATCCAAGCATGTCGCTCTTTGCAGCTTCTCTCTCGGCAGCCATCAGACTAGTCTATAAGTCGAAGAAGCCCGCAGACTTGGGGATTGCTGCCTGGCTAATACCCTCATGATGAAAATGTATTTCTTTTCTCTTGAACTCATAATACTTACAAGATACTCCCATATTAGGAAAATACCAAAACGTTAGTATCGATAGACAATAGTGCATGACCACCTCTGCCAATTATCAATTAAACGGATAATAATAATGGTAGAATGATAAAAGCTGAGCTCCCTGTTGAATAGACAGGGAGAGTATTCGGAGACCTGCAAACCATATACACAAATATAAGTAGCGATAATAATTACAACATGGGCGTAATTAATGCAGGATTCCTTTGGCTCATAGTCAATATAGAAAAGTAATCTCGGGCTTATCGTTAGCCATCGCGATGCAGAATTCAACACTTTCATTACAAGTAGTCCGTAGTTTTCTTCTCACAAAATTCCCAAAACTCCTGTGATCTTCCTGTTCCCCCATCCTCTGTTGACTTGGACGCATCAACTAGATCCTGCCTTACTGACCGAGATATTCTACCCCAGGGTATGATGTAGCACCCGTTTTCTTCCAGGTTCACATCTGACGACAATCCAGCGAATAACTCGGTTATGGCGGCTAATTTTGGCTTGTATAGCAATGGCATGGCTAGAAACTTCATCCAAGGACTGTGTCTGAGGAGATTTGTGTTGGCAGCTCCAGGGTTGAGTGAAACACTTATAATGTTATGAGAAGGGCCAGCTCTCCGGGCAAGTTCTGACGCTAAGAACATGTTGCCAGCCTTGGAAGTGATGTAGGTTCGAGTTTGATCCTTTGGAGGTGTTGTAAGCTCTGACATGATGATCCCACCCTGGGGAGCAGATAGCTCAACAATTTGGCTGCCCGTCCAGATAACGCGCACTGAGCCTGGAGTAGATGTTGCTGCTGTGGTTTCTAAAAGAGGAAGAAGTAGCTGTGTGAATAGGAAGGGTCCCAGGCAATTTGTTGCAAGCTGTAGTTCAATCCCTTGTTTGGATAAGCTTCCAAGTGGCGGTTGAGACACGCCTGCGTTGTTCCAAAGAACGTCGAGTCTGGATTCTTTCTCCATGAACACTTCGGCGGATGTCTTGATAGTGCTCAGGTCGTCAAGCACGAGATGAAGAAACTCCAGGCTTCCACCATTCGGTATAGCAGCCTGTATCTCCTCGATCGCCTTTTGTGCTTTCTCTTTCGACCGTCCAGCGATGTAAACTTTTCCTCCCTTCTCGTAGAGCATCTTAACTAGCTCGAAGCCGATGCCAGAGGCACCACCTGTCACAATAAACACCTTTCCATCCTGCGAGCCCACCTTAGCTTCTGTCCAGTTCGGCTTGGGCGGGAAAAACTGCGAAAACTGAGCACCCATCTTGATATACGTAGGAGACTGCTCCCCCTGTGCAATCTGTGTGTTGGTTGTGAAGGGTGAGCAAATGTTGACAGGAGTTAGAGTTGAAGTCAAACGACATCAAGCGTCTGGAGACGAGAAGGAAGAGAAGCTTGTCTTTTTTTTGCGGAGACGCTTGAGTCAAAGCTCTTGGTGCTGGTGATTGTCCCTTAGCGCGGACGAGGGTCTTGTAAAAATAACCCCCGTACTTAAAATCCTTCAAACTCGCACTGAAACACTGTTGTACAGGGAGGATCAATCGACGTGGCGGCGTACTGATTGTACCACTCTTTTTTGTTAACAATCACGCCGCAGATAAGGCGTGTGAATCGCCGACTTAAAAAGATCTTCGTGCACGGTGGGCTGCAGTAACCAATCGAGACTGATTTTCCTTTCACGGTGGTGTTGAGTGAAGGAAGATGAGTCAAGGGGAACCCATGCAGGTTATATTAGCTAGTTGATAGAGACAGGGGTACACCTCGTAACGTCAAAAGAGATGACGTCCGGTTGTGGCTGTACAGTGTTTGTCTTGACGTGCTCTATCTTGAGTCTTTGTCAATCAAAACGTATCAAAAATATTCTGTATATCGAAATAATGGCATACGGAGTTCCTGACGTAAGTTCTGACGTGGTTTCCGTAAAAGGCAGGGTCGTTGGGCTGTGTTAAAGTTCTGCATCGATTTCCATTTTTAGTAAGAGCAAAACATGTCCGTGCACATCAAGGTTTAGCCCCACTTAATAAGCGTGAATCACATGACGTGAATCCTTCTTCACGTGACTCGGTGTTTTAAAGTTGCCAGGATTCACTTTCCTTTCTCGGCGCATCTCAACCTTACATCCAACGTCGCTCTATCACTTCCACCAGGATTTGCTGAAGCTCCCCAATCCTCTCGATGTCTTGATGATCCCGAACGTGTTCCTTGACACGCCACACACGCGCTGGAGGGGAAATCATGCATTGCGTATATGCAACCTGGGAGCAAGGGTGATGCGGGTTCCTACTTGTTTCCTCGCGGCTGGCCGGGCGAGTCACTCGCACTTCCAAGTCCACGCGCCTTTTGCGTGGCTGTGAGTGGGATTGTCCCGCAAAACGAGGTATCGGACCAGCATAATGACACAGACCTCACAGATGACCGGCCCCTGAGTCGAACCACAGCAGAAATTGATGGGTGATCCGCATTGCAAGAAACCCACAGATACTCCGTAATACCTAGGCTCTTCGCAGGCTAGGGAAGTCATCACTATTTGCCACAAGGTGTTTGAAAGTCCAATTATTATTGATCATCAAGGGAACATGCCTCATTAAATTTACATCGCTGAAAGCCAAAATGGAACGCGGATAAGAAAGAAAGCGGAGCACAAGAAGGAAATTTACCGGGAAGAAAAAGACCAGCTTCAGGACACATTTTGCGTCACCCCAGGAATACCCCCATATAACTGCTCCGTACGGAGTACATGGATACGAATCTTTTATCGTTCCGGGGTATCAGTAATCATGATAACGTGGGCAGTAGATGCTCCAGACGAGGTTCCCGACATGGCTATACCTCACTGCTTCAAGGTACGTTCGAGTATCTTTGGAAAGGTTGGAGTCCTGCTTCGCCTTTTCGACAATGGTGTTAAACTCAGCCACCTGCTTTCTTATTTCCTCTGCACATGCAATCATTGCGTCTTCTTCACTGAGAGATCGCTCCTGCATGATGACCCAGACCGCGTTGAAGACATAATCTAGGCCATCTGCTGCTGCTTCATCACGCTCCTTTCTCCAGGAGTAGAGGTCGTTTGTGAGGCCAAGAGCAGCGTATCCCGGCCTAGCCAACTCCATGCAAAGCTCTAACTCGTCATCTGGGATGGTAAGGCCCATTCCAAAGGTTAATGTCCCGAACCAGATCCTACCACAGAAGTTAGACCAAGGCATATGAAAAGGATATGACATCTATTTAAAACTTACAGCTCCCCCGCGTCAATGACTCGGCTGGGAATGTATTCCTTTAGAGTGTCAAACGGCCGTGTTCTTGTTCGAGAAGCAAGTTGAACGAATTTAGACCATGCCTTCATAGCCGTGATAGCGCGCGGGGGATCGATGGCAACCATGTTGGCCAGAATCTGGGCCTGAAGTTTCTTCTCTTGGCCATCATGAGATGTGGCTTCTTGATCCAGTGCCTTTTCATCGCCAAAGGCATCAAGCATATCGTGGTGCTGCCCATCTTTATACTACTCATGGTTAGCATCAGTTATTACGCTGCATTTCAGCCACTGAGAATAGAAGTCGTTCACTCACCCCCTTAAGGTCAAGCTTCTCCATGGCATCTATATGGCTTGTCAATATCGGATGGCCAATGTGATGATATACGCTTACTTACCGTCATAGAGGAAAGCAAACTCGTTAGCATACGAGATGATCTCCAGCCTCTCAGGGAGGCACTCTGGAACAGTCACCCGAATAAAGCTGAATGGGTAGCCAAGTCCGCCCTTATAGCCATACACAGGGCGTACGTTCTTGCTCCAGTCGTCTTGGGCACGTAGAGCACCGTTGATTTCCTTATATGGGTCCAAATGCATACGAAGGGGAAGGCCTAGGTCGAGACCGTCTGTCTCATAGAACTGTGGATCAATCTCATAAGAGTATTGGAACTCCATTATGTTGGGTTGGATGATGGTATTGGCAAAGGGTTATAAATGGTGCAAGAGTTTTCTGCAAGCAAAAAAAGATGAAAAGGATGCAGCAGTTGAGGGCTAGAGTTTTTACATATCCAGAGCCTTGGAGGCTCCTTATATATCATTTTGATATATATGTCTAACATTGACAGCCTATAATCCTTTCACATTATCCACTCACCAGCTATCCGGTAACTTTTGTTTTGTACCGGACATATACATCCAAGGTACACTGTACCTTAGGCACGGAAATCTGCGGCGCACTCAGCCCACACAAATAACGGGGGGGCTTTCCATTCAGGACCTAGCGAAGGGGGCCATGATCCCATTCTTTACAGCTGTGGAGCTTCAGGCTGATAGCGTGAAGCAACTCCGGTTACCAGATGGAGCCTTCAGGTGGGCCAACAGACTCTATTTTCAGCCTACTAGCCTGTTTATTTGCTTACCAGCAATTAACGCAAAAGTAAAACAACAAGCAGGGGTCAAGAACTAGAACTGTGTATGTATATATAGAGCAAGGCTCATGGGAAAACCAATGGCTCAGCCCCTCAAAAAGTTGGTGAGCATTTTGATAATTCGGCACAGGCCGTCATCATGGCTACGAGAGCCCGCTTTCGTTCCGTTTTCAGTATGTATGCATCTCTAAACACCGAGGGGAATAAACCACGCTGATTGGATTCGTATGCAGGGTCTGTTCTTCTCGACCCCTGTTGGCTGCTGATCCGAGGATTTGTTCTGGGGCTGGATGGAACTTAATCGAGAGACTGACACCAAACAACCTGGCGCGAGGCTGGATGTCCCGTTTCTGCAAATAAAAAGGTCGAAAGTGCTCACTACTGAGATGAATTTCGGTCGCTGGTGAGTTAACCAAGCGTTATCTTCTGCTTCCTAATACGGTTTCTTTAACTTTTATCGCTGGGAGAGACGATACAATGGATAACATAGCTCTCAATTTGCCCTTCACCCTGACCATATTGGCGGGGTCTTATATCCTGTACTCACTTGGCCGTATTATCTACAATCTTTACTTTTCCCCTCTTTCCAAATTCCCGGGCTCAAAATGGGTGATTGCAACTTACTGGCCGGAGTTTTACTATGACTGGTGGTGCAATGGGAAATACCTCTTTGAAATTGAGAAGATGCATGATAAATATGGTGAATAAGATCCTCAATCCTATGGGATGATTCATTCCTAGAAGGAGTTGCAGTATCCATCAGATCAAGCAAACTAATGGTGAAAAAGGTCCTATAATTCGAATCAATCCTGAAGAGCTGTCTATTCGTGACCCGGACTTTTACAATGAAATCTACGTCACAGAGAGCAAACGCAGGACAAGTCACTATGACGTTTTCTGCAAAGGAATCGATTTTGATGGTCAGCAAATATATAACCTTGACACAGAGAGATGCAAAAATTGTTGTCCAATTGCTAACCTGATACTAGGATCGCATTTACTTACCGTAGACCATGATCTCCATCGCCGTAGGCGAAAGCCACTCGAGCCATTCTTCTATCGCCAGGGAATTATGCGGCTTCAAGACATGCTGGCAGAAGTTGCCCTCAAGCTTGAGTCACGAATTAGAGCCCTTGAAGGGACAAACACGGTGATTCGACTGGACCATGCCTTCTCCGCATTCTCCGGGGATATCATTGGGAAAATCTGCCTGGACAGCGGGGATGACAGCAAGACGTTTTTGAGTCACCCAACGTTCAACCCTGAGTGGTATGTAACGCAAAGGCCGGCCCCCTAGCGAAAAGGCGCACATCTGACCGTGTGACTAGGTACGACACCATCCACACGATTGTTCGATCAATTCCCTTGTTTACAGCCTTTCCATGGATTGTCCAGTGAGTCGATTAGTATACCCTTGTGCCTCCTCGAGGCTGAAAATAAGCCCAACTTTCTAACAGGGAGCAGGGTAGTGAGTTTCATTCCGGAATCAATCCTTCTACGGGCTTTTCCTAGGGGCCAAATGTTCAATAACTTCAAAGAGGTATGTAAATTCCCTCAAGCCCCTGCGTAGGGGGCTAAATGAGAGAGATACACCACGAGGCATTTCTAAAAAAAAGGGGGGGGGGTTTAAATTAAATTTAGGTCGCTAAACAGCACATCTATCGAGCCTTGAAAGATACAGAAGAAAGTAAAAGGACAGGCAAAGAGGATACCAATCATGCCTCTCTTTTCCACTATATCGCAACGAGCGATATGCCCGAATCAGAACGGTCCCCGGAACGACTAGCCAAGGAGGCCCAGGTCCTACTTGGTGGTGGAACCGCCAGTACTGCACGTACTATTGGCTTTACATCATTCTACATCATGTCTAACCCGAATATCCGGTCGAGGCTAGAAGATGAACTCAGGGATGTGATGGCAGACTGGCCACAGCGCGTCCCTTCTTGGGCTGAGCTCGAAAAATTGCCCTTCCTGCAGGCACTCATCAAGGAATCCCTTCGGTAAGCTCCAACCCCAACTCAAAGCGCGGAGTCGGTGCTAACAAAATTACATTTACAGCCTCAGCTACGGTGTCATGCACAGACTCCCCCGTATCTCACCAGACGTGCCTATCCAGTACAAGCAATACACTATCCCGCCTGGTGTAAGACAATATTTCCAAACTCTGTCTTAGCGCCCGAGTTATCAGGTGGTAATGGCTAATCATTCGCTCAGGTCCCCGTCGGCATGTCAGCTTATTTCATGCACTCTGACCCCAAAGCATTCCCCGAACCAGACAAGTACATTCCAGACCGATGGCTCGGAAAGGTGACTCCTGAAATGCACAGGAGCTATGTCCCATTCACACGAGGGTCCAGAAACTGCCTGGGAATGAAGTGAGTGATATCTTTCTTTACCGTTATTGGACAGGTAGTGGCTGTGAACAGATCTGCCTGCAGCCTGAACATGCATATGTTAGCGGCGTCTGCTTCGTATTCCGGAGGTGCCTAACTTTCCACAATAATAATTTCGGGGGCTAACTGACTTCTTTAATTCCATCACACAGTCTTGCCATGTCCGAGATGAGCCTTATCCTGGCCGTCCTTTTCCGACCCAACGGCCCCAAGTTTGAGCTATTCGAGACGGACGAGAGCGACGTAAAGCAAGCCCACGACTTCCTTATTCCCCTGCCGAAGATTGAAACGAAGGGAGTTCGAGCTATCATTCCCTAGTAAACTAACCTAACTAGTTAACTAATAATGAAGGGAGAACATTCTTCGTGGAGTCGCATGTACTTAGTTATTATTTATACCCTACGCCATTTGTGTAAAAATTCAAAAAGCCTGCCACTGTGGGCTGCAACCTCCCATCTTAACTGACATGTTAATGAATGCCTGATATTGGGTACTATTATTGGCCATCTTTCCCGCCCGACTATTTATAAAACTGCTAAGTACAAAGATCTACCAAGCCTAGGCTTCTCACTTTGAGCCCATAGGCCTACCATCCCTGGAATTGGGGGCAGTCTATTACGCTAGGTACCCCATAGTTACCAAGACAGCCACAAAGGACCCGGGGCGCCGACCGAGACTAAAAACCATTAACTATGAGCGTAAGGTTGCTTTGCATCGTATTCGCGCCGAGCATAAGGTTAAGTCTTTCTCACCGTCATAGCACGGAGTATAGCAGCCAAGCGTTACCTGAATATGGGATAGACAGCATATTTGCTTTCTTGCTTTCTTGCTGTTTTTGCCTTCAAGTTGTGTACTGCGGCTGGGGCCAAAAGGAGTGTGAGAAATTCATTCATTAGTTAGTTACGTCGAGAGTATCGCAGTCACATCCAGTGAGTTGGCTAACTATCGAAATAAGCTAAGGATGTGCATTGTTGCGTTGACCATGCATATTATACCCGATATTGATATGGGTTTGTATGCAAGGCAGGGGCTGAGAGGCGAATGCATTATCTCAAGAGTGTCAACGAGAAAAGGAAAAAGGCGGTCTTGGTCAAATCTGCGCCCAAGTAGAAATAATCGAGTGGTGTTCATAATGTACTCTGAGAGAGTAATATGGGTTGCCCCTGAGAAATTAGTATACACGCAAATGCTCCTCCCGTTTTGTTTCGTTCCGTCATGGCCCTTTCATGACTATGTAGATATGGTAGCTGGTATCAGCCGCAGAGACACCAACTGGACGCACCAGAGATATCGCGTAGTTTACCTTAATGTGATCTCCGCTTAATTCTCACTTGAATCGGCTTCTTCTCGACCAGGAGAAAGGTCCTCAGCTCCTCCCATCTGAGTTTCTTACCCTCTACAGCCTCGAAATCAAACGCCCAGACTAATCTAGCGAGGATAAGTCTCAGCTCTGCCCATGCAAGATGCTGGCCAAGGCATTCTCTTGGTCCAACACTGAACGGCTGGACAGCGTTGCGCTGGTCATGGTAGAAGGGAGATTTTGGGTTAGTGCTGGCCTCGGGGAGCCAGCGCTCAGGGATAAAGGATGTTGCTGAGTGGAAGAATGAAGGGTCGCGGTTGAGGGTGTATGCTTGGATGCTCACAGCGGTCTGGTATATGGTGGTCAGATGTCTCATTCTGTACATGTATGTGTCTGTG